TTGTGGAGCTCTATCCCTCAGAACGATATTGTGAGTGCCTTTTGTCAGACTGCACAGAGTATATTGTAGAAGCTTTTAGCATAACACAATAATATAAAACGCTGTGTGACACAGTGGCACGGAGAGAAACAAAACTCCATTAATTCATTTCATTTAGCTGACGTTTTTGATTGAATGGGTTATTTTGTGCTGAATTTCCAGGTATTGTTCTGACATATGTCATGTATTGTGAGAGTGCACTGGCTCATGCACTTCAATTTCCATGGCCATTAGGATTAAAGAAATCAATATTCTCTGACCCAAAGTGAAACAACATCGCCACCATTTCTCACAAGTAGAAAAGTACGGATATAACACAGCTTTTTGTTACTATTATTTTGGGCACTAAGGCTGAAAATTGTTTTTTGACTGCAAAGTCAAGTGTGAAAAAACATATGACTGATTGAAGTGGTTGAATGATTCTAAATAATTTGAAGCACACTACAGTATATGTATGTCCATGGCAAGAATGAAGACAGAGGAGTCGAACCCATGTTTTCATCAATCTGACAACAATAGTTAGGATTAAATATTAAGGATCATGGTCCTGTTTCTGTACAACAACATAGTTAGGATTTCCTTATATTATAACACTATGGATATATTCTACCATAGACGCTCCAATCAGAAGCTGCCACGGTGCCAGTAGCTTTGGCCTTCAGATAACCAAACATCAAGTAAATATTCACTGGCTTGCGCTTACTGGTTTACAAATGAGTTCAGCTTTAACCACAGTTGTTTAAAAGTCTTATACAAGATCCATAATACTTTAAATTCAAGTTCTGTAGTCAATCACCACAAAGATGATAAAACACAAAAACTGCCTATACTTCTACACTTAAAATCGTCTGACAACTGAGACTTTACCACTTTGTAGCAGAAGAAATCGGCAGTCGCTCAGCACCTTACACGAATGTTGGGGTAAATCTTTAATTATTCAGGGGGAAGCATATCTACAATGGACTTTGAGAGGATTGGGAGAGTTGTTTTGAAGCGCCACTGAACGGCAGCGCTATAAAGTATTTCTCCTTTTCTCTTATTGAGTCATTACAATGGGTTTTTAGAGACACCATGGACTTCTTTAGTTCTTTCAACTCGCAGCTTTGCAGACTTCAAGCCCTCAAAGCTCTGCCGCATCACATGGCGTGCTGCAGCTGAGATCGGCCGGCCGCTGCCTCTTGAAGTTTTCTACCTGTTCTGGGAGCTCTTTGAGGAGTCCCCATATGCCGTGGGTTTGTCAGATTTCATAAAAGGCTAAGCTGTTAATGCATGCATCCAGTGTTTCGACCTTCACTGACTGTTGTGTCGTTTTGAAAGTTATTTAGATCCCAAATGCCCGACCAAGAAGGGAGACGGAGCAGGTTATTCACTTAAATGTAGTACAGGCAAGTAAGAAAGGTAGGCACATGCAGAGGGAGAAAACAGCCCGAACGTTGTTAAAACATTCTCAAATCAGTCTTTTAACAGGCTTAGTAAGTCACAGTAAACACAATATATATATATATATAAATTAAAAGTCCACCTAATGTTTCAAAAAGTATGTGTTTTTTTGAATGACAAGATTCAAAAAAGTTAATTTAGCCTTTTAAGAAGTTAACCTTGAAGAAGACCCCTTTTCATAAATGTTATATGACGCAAATAAAAGGTGGAAATCTTGAGATTGAGGACTACTAAAATTAAGAAAATAATAATAATAATCTCTGGCCGTTGACATGATAAAAGATAGTGATGCTTGTTTATATTAAAATCTCTTTATGTTGTTCCAAATGAACATGACTTCAGTGAATTACTAGTCATTATAACTGTAAGGTTTACTGATCCAATCTAATAGTTTAGCAAACAACATTGAAATAAAACCAAAATATTAAACATGTTGGTTAATATGTAAACTGACTTAAGATAGACATCAGAATTATATCTCATCTGTGTCTAATCCATCAGCAGTTATTAGAACATGGCATTCAACTTAAATACTGCATATGTCCCACAGGTAGGGGTGGGCGATATGGCCAAAAAATTCATATCGCGGTATAATTTGGGTCACAGACGGTAGACGGTATATATCGCGGTATAATTTGGTGTGTGAATTTCAATATAGGTCTAGCAGGTTCTTGCATAAAATAGACAAGATTGTTACTTTTAAAATTTATTGTGCAAAACTGCAATTATAGAGAACATTATAAAACTTCCAAGCAGTATACATTTAAAACAAGACAATGTCAACTTTAAAGTGAAACATCACTCCAGTGCAAAATACTCTTTTCCTTCACTTTTCTTAAATAACACAAAATAGCATGCAAAGATTTAGATAATAAAAAACAAAACTTCAAGTACAAGAGGTATCTTTTGCCCAAATATATAAACCTAACATTTTAAAATGACTTTTGAGTGCAAATCAACAATTAGCTTTAGAGACTTGAGGTACATGTACACTAAATGCAAAAATAACTTAAGATAAACAACAAACAAGCTTTGTGTACTGTGTGCGTCAGTGACAAAAGAAAACACTGAGCATTAGTTTCACACCAGTTTACGGCAGATTTTTAGCCAAGAACACAAGCCTGTCCACATTCTCTTGGCACCACGTACCTTGGATCCAGCGTATTGACCATGCCTAAAAACCCGCTTCTCTCCACGGTTTGAAAAGGCACCATGTCTTTGCACAAGAAAGTTGTTATAGACTTCGTAATGTCTATGCACCGCTGGCTTTTTTTTTCATAGGGCGTACCTTTTGAAAAAGCCTTGGCGAGTGAAACCTGGTGGTGTGTAACTTTTTTCCCACTCGAGGACTGGCTTGTTTTCTGAGGAACAGCGGCAGCGCTACGCATTCGTTGGCTTTCCTCATATTCGACAGCGTGTTTTGTTCTCAGATGGTAGAACAGATTGCTTGTGTTACCTCCCTGTGCTATCACTGTTGACCGGCATAATTTGCAGATTATGGTTTTCTGCTCACTATCCGACACTTCAAACCCAAACCATGTCCATATTATTGACGTTGCACCAGTCCTTTTTACGAGCTCCGCCTTCTCCATACTTTCACCGCTCGCAGCCATATTTCCACACGAGTGAAGATGAGTTTGTCTGCAGCGTGCAAGAGTGGCACGTGACGACACGCCCACTTCACGACACGCCTCTGTCTTGCAGGCTGCAGACAACCCTCTCGTGGTTGTTGCCGGTCCCAGCAGGCCAAGCATGTTTCAAATTGATGACATAATGATCTATACCGCAATATGCCGGTATAACAAAAATCTCTACCGTTGGCCAAATTTATACCGTCTACCGCTTATACCGTTTATACCGCCCAGCCCTACCCACAGGAAAACTAAATAATAGATAAATACAATAAAAACTAAATCCAGACATGGAGGGAGACTGAATCACCTACTCTCAAACACTCCTCTCGGTTCATGAGGCAAGGTTTTTAATTTGTTCCATAATAGAATTCATCTCAAGCATCTCTAGCCATTAAGTGCGCTGCATTTGTGGCAAGCTGAAGAGCAGGCAAGTGGGATGGATTTCATTAGGCATCGGGGCCACCACAGGCACAGAGCTTTCTCTGCATCACCTATTTAGTCCTATTTTAGATATTGTAAATCCTGATTTAATACGTCATTCTGTCCCTGACCCCCTCCTCCCTCAGTCCTATAATGTAGAAATTGTCTCTGCTCTAGTTTGACACTTATTGCTTAGGGGGTTGGGGTAGCTGTTCTTTCAGAACATATACCAAGTGAAAGTCTTGGCTTCATCATTTTTTCTTTCTCGTGGTCATTTGCCCATTTATTATTACCTCATCTGCTCCATGTGGCCCTGCAGGGTGCAGGACTAGGTCGGAGTGGACCTCTCACTGCATCTTAAAAGCATTAACTGTGGGTGGAAGCTGATGGATGGTAATGGCCAGCTCAACACAACGTCCCTAAGCGCCTCTCAAGTGGGATACGACTCCTTTTAGGTCACACACATGGAGATGGGAGATGTGAAATGTCATGGGCATCCATAAGTTAAGTCATCTGCACTCAGGTCTGTAATACACAATTTGAACAAGATTTAATGTGGTAGCTCAGTTCAAAAGTCATGAAATGATTTCAGTAGAATAAGTAGAATAATTCTTAGTTGTTTGAACTATTTCTTGAGCGATACAATGTTTATGAGCTTTTTGAACAAACAATCTATATTATACAATACACTCGTCCCTCTGTAATTTGTTTAACAACAGCCTGCACTGAGAGAAAACTGTCACACATCTGAATACATCAACTTGGAGCTGGAGAGACACAGAGCTGGGAGAGGGGAAAGGTGGGGGTCCGAATTATAGGAGTGCAGGGGCTTATAGGGAAGTGGCATCGCTAAGTCCCCCCCAAGGGAGTTCTCTCTCAGATAAATGCTCAGATCTCATTGGAAATGTGACTTAACGCCCAGGAAATGGTCATGTTTAATGTATTAAGCAGATGGCAGGGGCATCTAAAAGGGGGAACCAAAAATAAACTACAGAAGTTCCTCACAGTCTAATGAAACAGGTAAACGCATACACACACTGATATAAACAGACAAACAGAACTGAATGAACATAATCCAAATGAGCTCGGGAGTGCTCTCTCTGCTCTAATGTAAGTCGTAATGGACGTGTATGTTCACTGAGTCACTGTGGTCTTTGTAGAAAAATAAAGCTTCACAGTTGGTCTACTACTTTTATGGCAAATGCATTTGCTCTGTAAAGAAATGAATCATATAATGATTTCTCAGAAACAACAGATAGAAGGGCTGCTGTGTGCTACACTGACTAACAGCTTCAGGCTTCACTGAGCCATTTATATCATACTTCTTGAGCAGTTGTAGCTCAATTCAGTTGCAGTCTGTTCTATGTTGTGGTTTCAAGTCATAAAGTACAGCCTTGGAAATAGATCTGTAAGTGAAGTTATTGAGACTTACGCCAACTGATATCATGTGTGGTTGTGAGTGCTTACCTTAGGTAGTCCCTGCGACACAGGATGAGGTTGGCTTTGGTGTACAGGGTGGAGCCCACCTCCCCCAAGCGGCAGTCACAGCAGGCACATTTCAGACAGTCTTCATGCCAGTATTTGTCCAGGGCCTTGAGCAGGTAGCGGTCTTTAATCTTACGATTGCAGCCAGCACATCCCTTCTGTTTCCCTTTGGGCTGGACGGAGAGCATGGGCACACCTGTAGTGATAAGAGACAAACAGCCATGCGTGATTTACGGCCAGGGAACACGAGTGACTTTTCATGTTCTCTTTTTGATAAGCTACTGCTCTTTCAGGCACCTCAGGCCGCGCTCGCTCACGGCCACAGTGCAGCGCATCACCTGCTTCATATGCATTAAAGAAAACACTCTTCCATGTAGATAGGCACACGGGTCACATTGGACCATGCTGCCCTGACTTACTGCTCCATAAGGACATGTGTTACAAAAGTTACATGATCAGTGGCTGCCAGCCTGTAAAGCCTCTGTCAAGACGAGTACACACAAGATAAGAGCACAATGCTTATTCTGCTTACTGTAATATTTACAGCATGCTGTGCACTACATTAGTTACCTACCATTTCATCAAAGCCATTTCACTCAACTGTCCACAGCTGTAAAAGCTCCTCATGGGCTTTGTTTGGTATAGATTAACATTAACCTTTTAAAAAGCCTCTGACCACAAAAACGCTGCTACCAGACCCCAGTGAGATATGTTATGGCCTAAGTGCCTTTTAGCATACACTCAGTGTGCTCCATGCACTCACAGTGGGACTCACTCAGGCTAACACACACACACACACGCACACACACACACACACACACACTCCTGCACCCAGCATTACAGCGTTCCTCCTTTTACACTTATCTGTACTCATGTGTCTGCAACCAGCAAACCTAAGTTACCAAACTCGCAAATTGCTTTGCTGTCACACAGGTCCCCTTTAAGTGCGCCTTTTAGCCTCCTAAAGGACAAATAAAGTCCATTTAATAACTGCACTAAACACTAATAGTCTATGTGTGGTTGACATTTGTGTTTGGACTAAAAGCCCCCCTCAGGCCACTGCTGGTAGAGGCTGGGGCGCAGCGCTCCCCTCTGAAGCACTAACAGGTCTGCCACAGCTGAAAGCACAAGACAACAGCTCTTAAGACACTCTCTCACACACTGAGCTATTGATCCGGCTAAAAGAACACACAGTGGACGCCACTTGCCACTCTACTTTCAAAACACATTTCTCCCTCTCTTTCACACTGAAGAAAATACAACTAACTGGACACTTTGCATGGCAGGGGGCAATGCCATGTTTAGTGAGTGTGGGTATCCATAAAAGAGCTTTGGCTGGAAAGTAATGTTGAGTAATAAGTGGAAATGTCACTACTGTAAACTCACACTACACATTAGAGTCAGTCTACACTTTATTCCGTCCCTGTGAACGCCATTTACTTTCAACCACTTGTTTACTAACCACTTTGTTTTACCTTTGTTGCTGCATCCTGTGAGGTAAGGTATTTTCAGTTGTAAAAACCTTGTGGGTGAATGGCCTTCTCTGTTTGCGTCAGCTTCATTCACCTCTACATACCTTACACTATTATAGCCTGCACTTCTTTTAAACACAAGAACATTCTCTTCCAGACCAATGTCTTATTGGATCCAGATTTCCATATCTATTCCAGATCATATCAATAATGTTACATAATTACCATTTTGCTCTGTTAGGAAAGAAGTGGAAGGAATGGTAGAGCTTGTTAGTCAAATTTATGGCTTTGTTTTATATGTCAGTGCATGCTCTGCTGGTGTTAAGCAATCTTCTTTCTTTATCATGAGCGAGAAGGAGAGGCTAATTGGTGCAGTGCGTGTGATGGGAGCTATCAATTAGTGTTTGTGCCAGCCCTCCAGCTCGCTCACCCTCTGCCCGAAAAACAGGCCCCTGGATGCTTGCGTATTAGGATCACAAAACCTGCTATAAATACCAATGTTGAGCGTAAATGAAGGTAAAAAGCCTGGGATTTAAGGCACAGCGGCTGAGGACAGGCTTCTCTACCTGCATTTCATGGCTTGTTAGGAGAGCTCTCTGCAGGTATGCCAACAGTGCTCTGCTGACAGCCTTCCACAGAACTAAAAACACTCTTAATGAGGAGAGAGCTATATGTGTGTCTGTATACATGTGTACGGGCAAGTCCTGGCACGGAGAGAAGGAAACGAGTCACTGTGATTCCCCCAGGATCACAAAAACCTTTAATTTGCCTTTTTTATGACACCTAATTAGTTATTTGACTCAAAATCTTTGCTTTAAATAAGAAAACTAATTATACAAAAAGGTCAGTCTCCCACCTCCGGAGAACTATTCCTAATTGGTCAAGACCACCAGTCAGTGCATGCTCCTTAAACATATCACGTGTGTGTTTTACATCAAGTTTGAAAAGGCCAAAGCTTAACCTATCCCAGAATAACAGCCGCACCGTTTTGGAGGGACACTTTCCTTATAGCCCTGCTCAGCATCATTAAAATGACACACACCCTGCCTCCTACAATCCAGTGTTTGCTGTTAGTTGACATTTATTTCTTCGTGCATATGTCCTGCTCCTTCAGGCCTGACTCTTGGAAAGAAACATCTCAATAAACAAGGAAGTAAAACTGTAGTCATTTCGGGAAACAAACATGTTTTGAAGTCTTCAACCAAACGCAGCCTAGAGCAAACGGATTCTAGAGAAGTGTTTGGAACAACAGCTGAACAAAAAGCAGAAGTAAGGTAAATGTAGTTTCAATTCCCTGATGCCTAAAGACATTTCAGTGCAGCTGTCAGCGGCTCTTAGCGCAGTGTGAGGGGGACAGGACTGCTTGTGTTTGCCACCTCGCTCCAAAAAGCGGCGCATTATAAGAGGAAGTAGCATCCACTTAATCCGATCCATTTAACAGATACAAGTGCTGCTGACCTTCCAGTGTCATTTGATGTCACCACAGGCCTGTCCTGTCCACATCACAGACCAACGGGGTTATACATTTTAGCCCTCAAAGTGAAGGAAACAGCACTTGTCCTGCCAAACATCCTTGGTGAGAGTGAATTTAATTTGCCATTAGCGCAAGTGTGTAAAGTGCTGTCATCGCCCTCTTCCTCGATCCATCAACATTCTCACCGATGCTATCAGCCAGAATATGTACAGTTGTGCTCAGACCAAGGAGTCTGCCAGAGCATGTAGTTCCCATTATAGAGATAGCATCCACTTTTTTGTGCAGCCCCATTTAGACTTCCATCTTTACAGCTATCAAACTTCACACGACTCCGCTGCAACCCTTTTTGATCTTAAAGGATTAAAAGAAAACACGTTCAGGAGCACTCAGGAAAGAGTTTAAGACTAGTAGAGAAATGCAAAGATCACATCGGCTTCTGCAAATGCTCCCAATAAGATTTTTCAAGAACATATTAAATCAATATAGCACAGGTTCTATCGTGTATGTGCAGGCAATTCTATCATCATTTAATGACTTTTGAGGTGAAGGGGCTGCCATCTTTTGTAGCCCAGAAAGTGTCATGTATGGCCTTAATTATACCCAGTAATATGAAACTGTTGAGAGTTGATGCTTTTGTTGAACTGTTCTTTTGCATTTTGGTTTTTTAATTTCACTTGTGAAGAATGTTGTATTGCCTTGTACTCTAATTGTGCTGTACAAAAACAGGTTGATTGATTGATGCCTACTTGTAAAGAAATAAATAGGCCCAAATGTTTAGTAGGTCTACGTCACAGGTGTCAAAGTCAAGGCCCGGGGGCCAGATCCGGCCCGCGAGACCATTTCCAGTGGCCCCTGAGATGATTTTAAATTATTATATTAAATAGCAGCATTGATGGTTTTAAGCGACAATGGCATGTTCTCCATTACTAATTTTTATAAGAAAACAACCATAAATGTAATTCCATAAGAAATGTTAAGCTAACATGCAATTAGAAACAGTATTGTTATGTTTTTTTACGAGTCTTCATTTACATTTCTTCAGATATGAAGAGGATTTCACAATTTTCTTAGGAAAGAACCGCCCTCTCCACTTTTTGAACAAAACTCTGTGGTCTTATTTGACGAGCACAAATCACCAGAATGATTGACAGTTAGGAGGACCACCAGTCGTAATGATCCACACAGAAGTAGACAATCTTCCTCTATACCTTCAATATTTGGTCCAGATTTGGTTCAGTCCCAGGAACTGAACTTATTATAATCAGAAAAGAAAATCCAATCCAACTAATGTGAAACAAGTCATTTATATAAATACCTTCATATTATAAAAAAGTATGATAAATGAAACCCACTTCTTCTTTCGGCCCCTGACCAGCCCTTTCATTTTTATATGGCCCTCTACCAAAATAAGTTTGACACTCCTGGTCTACGTGATTCAAAAAGCTTAATTTTGTCTTGAGTTAAAATGCTTTTTTTTGGTTCTTCTGAAAGACAAGTTTAGATACAGTATACTATCTTGTTTACATGTTTCGGCTGGTCGCTCAGACTCACCACGCCTCCTCTCGCTCCGTGGTTTCTGGACGCTGGAGGAGGGCGTCCCATGTGTGGGACAGGAGGAAAGCTCCAACATCTCGGTTGATGCTGTTGTTACAACACTTCCTGATTCCAATGGCCTCCTTGATCCAGCGTGTGTATTTGTAGTTTTTGGATCCGATGACCCGCGCCCCGTCCCAGTTGACTGGGATGAGGGAGCTTTCCTCCAGAGACCACTGGGCGAGAGGGGGCGTGGTCAGTCTGAGCCTGATTCAACACGCCTACTCAGGAAGTAACATCAGCTGATAAATGACACGTCACCAAGGCAGGTGACAGTTCTGAAGATGGCTCGCAGCTCTGCAGCTGAAACATGTTAACAAGGTAATACATCTAAACTTGTCTTTCAGATGAACCAAAAAAGCAGTGGGTCTACCTCCATCATACTTAGTTTTTGTAATTTAAGCTTGTATAAAGTCACCCAGTTCAAATGAATAAAAAATTGAATTTGTCATGTAGTTTTATGATGGCCCACTGTGTCATTTTATGAGGCCCTCAGCCTTGCTAACACAAACTAAACATTAAAGCACTTTTATAGTGTCATCCAGCCAACTTCAGCTCCACCATTATAGTCAGGCTGTACCTCGTTGTAAAGCACAGAACCACTAGAAATCAGCCAATAACTTTAATTGTATATACTGACATTTGTTTTGATTAGAT